AGGAATATAATCTGTGAATATTAATGCACATCAATAAATTTGAAGGATTTAACAGTTAGAATGCTTTAAGCTTCATGCAATTAAAAAATCTTAAGTAATAAATCTATTTATTGTCTCATGTGACAAGAAGTTGAAGAAAACAGTTTCAGTAGTGGTTCAATCTATAGCTCAACAATGTCAGAAAGACCCAGGTTCCTTCCCTCTTTCTGCTCTGCCTACCTCAGCATGTTTATCTCAGGCTAACTCTCCTCTTGGTACTAAAATGGTTGAGGCAGAAAAAAGACTATTTATTTCCACAGATTTCTTTTTAAGAGGAAGGAGAAACTTTCCCAGAGGCCCTCTCAGAACACACTGTCATGGCTATTGGTCAGTATTTTGTCATTTGTCCATGCCCAAAACAATGACTGATGATAAGAGTAGGACCACTATTCTGGTTTAAACCAATCATTATCCACTCCCTGGCATGTCCCAGAAGCACATGGAGCATAGATACCAGAACATATGAGAATTCCATTTGTTGCCAAGAAAGGGTAAGTAGTTTTTGCTTCTGAATATCTGAATAATATCTTAAAATGTGTATTAATAAGATACATTTAACAATTTAAGAAATGATAAATCTTTCTCAGTAGTCCTCAATATTCCCATCTTTTCTAGTATCCAGTTCATCTAATCTGTGAAAGACCAAAACAGCTTGCCGGTAGTCAAAGGAAAGATAGTCATTAGCTCATCCATCCATTTATTCATTCAGTTCAGATTTTCTAAGCAACTGTCATATCCAACATATGGTTTACTATGGAGGATTCCATAGTGTAAAGTTTATGTCATCAAGAAGTTTATTATTTGGAAAATACCAAACTTAGAAAATGTTGTAATACTTTCTCATTCTATCATGTAAAGGTGATTTCCAAATTAAAGCCATAAGTTACACAAAACTTTCAAGATTCCTAACCTAAACTTACAAGTAAAATTTATTATTTTCCTACAAGAAAGTGCTGAATACAATTTTAATAAATTACCAAATGTATTAATACTGAATTTAAGTTATAGAAAATTATAGATTAATTCAAATAATTCTGGTTGACAAATATCAAACATAAATATATTTATCTGTAACACTCAGGCATGTGATCATGGGAAAAAGCAATGGCATTTATTTTGGAAAATTTATTCTGGAATAGTTCTAATAAGGAGTATGACAACTATTATAGGTGTTAGACTTGCGGGCATTTAGTCTACCCTCTAAAGTACTGATAACTAGGAAACAAGAGTAGACTCTGCCATTAACCGAAAAGTTCCAGGGACATCTCAAGAACTAGCCCAAACCCCAGTATTCTTCAGGAAAAACTTGTTCTTCCTCTGAGATCCAGACCAGGTAGTTTCTTCTCACATCACTCCTAAAGGACAAACCCACTAGAGGTATGTCAGTGAAAAAATGACAAACTGAATTAAAGTACAAAGAATGGAGGGGAAGACATGACTAAAGAAAAGACCCCCCAAAAGACATTTTTATGCTATTAAGAACCTTTCCATTTTTTCGTCTTATTTTAACCTTTGTCCAATCTAGATAATTTCTATATTGATAATAGTGATCTAATTTATTCTATAAAGAGCCCAGTAACCAAGTGGCAAAAAGACAAGCATTTGTCAGGGCCTCAATAGCCAACACGTTAAAGAAAGATGCCCTTTCCAGATGGGCATAGCTCTTGCAGGTACATAGATTAATAAGGGAACCTTGACTGGATTTCAGCCCCCTCTACCCCTTTGGCCAGGAGTCTGTGTGCAGGGCATGACATGCACAAATGTACACAGTGACCTTGAATGCTAAAAATGAAACATGTTGGAATTCCTGAGGCTGTTTGCCCAAAGACTTGAATGCCATGTACAAAGTCAGGGTAAATCCGTCCTGCCAAAATCTTTTTTCATTACTAACACCCAAGATGTTGGCACAATAATATTAATCATCTGACCTTTTAGAGGTAATTTCCTGACTTTAGCTGGGCAGACAGGCTAAGTGCTACATTTGGCCCTATTTTTAAATTACTCAGATGGTGTAAATGGGTGTGTAGCTCAGGGTGCCCACATACACTGGGCAGCTTCCAGGGACTATTTGTACCTTGGGTGTGACCGGCTGCTATGGACAGGAGTGGAGAATGGGGGCGAAGGAATGGTAAGTGTCTTGTCAGTGCCTTTCTTATCTGAGTAAAACTGATTTCATCGGTCACCTGTGAAATGTTGAACCTTGGTTTAAATTGGGGTGAGAGGGGTTCACTCTTGCTCACCCATAAAGTAGCAGCCAAGTACGTACTGAAGGAGTGTGATAGATGGAAACAGGGAGGCTAATTCGGAGATAGCTATTACCCATCTCTGCTGCACGAGCCCCAAGGTGGATTTGAATGTTCTGTGTGGGGAAGGCTTTGCAGGGAAAGAGAGGCCATTTTTCATCCTCTGCCTGCTGTGACTTAAATTTTATTTTGTTTCCTTGGAGATTAAAAGCTTTTGATGGCTATGAAAGAGAAGAAAGTGCCAACAGGATTTAAGAGAAGAGTAACCTTAATTCCCCAGACTTTTAGGCTTTCAGTAACAAGGTACAAAGGACACAATTATCTTCAATCAGCTTCTTCTCCTCTTTTCTTATAATTTCCTGTTTTTTCCTGCTTAAAATGACTTTCCCTCAGATGAAGTTTCTACTTTCTTCTTCTTCATCAATCCATGTCTTTCTTTCAAAAAGATACTTAAGATTTGCCACCCCCACTAAGCCTCTCTACACATCCAAACTGATTCCTTCTAGCCTTAATAATGTAGATGACAGCTAAAACTAAAAAACAAGCTTGTGGCTAAAATCATGGCTTTGGATTTAAGCTAGGAATCAGCACTCTGCAGCTTACAGGCCAAATCCAGCCCACAACTTGCCTTTGAACAGCCCATGAGCTAAGAATGGATTTTACATGTGTAAATGGTCAGGAAAAAATCAAAAGGATGTTAATGTTGGATGACATGAAAACTGTACCCACAAGTCATGGCTCATCAGGACACAGACATGTTCATTTCTTCATGAACATGCTGCTCATGTTCATGAAGCAGCTGCTTTTACACGACAATGTCAGTGTTGTGCAGCCGCAAGAAACTGAATGGTCACAAAGCCTACAATATTTCCTATCTGGCCCTTTAAAAAAAAAAGAAAAAACCTTGTCATTTCCTAGTCTAAGACATTAAATGACTTAGAGATATTAAGTAAGAACATCTCAAAGAAATAAAATTCAGGCAAACAAGGCAAAGGCTATCAAACAGCCACATTAAGGTCTGAGCCTATAAGTGGTTACCCTGAGAAGCAGGGTGTTAAATAAAGGGGGTGGTGGGAATACATAAAGTCAACACTCTGTACTTGGTAGGGGTGCAGATGATAATGTTCTTGTTGCCTACTGCCGCAATTCCAGGACCTAGCCCACTTCTTAGAGCTGGCAGTTTCTCATTTAAATAGTTATTAAATGAATGAGGAGGAAGGGAGGAGAAAGAAATATAAAACAACTGAAACAAAAGTTGCACAGAGTTAGGAGTGTATGATAGTCCCCGATAACTCTCTCAAATTTATCTACCCTTGTTTAAATGTCATAGGTTCCCAAAAGTAAGCAAAAATTCACACTTTCGAAGCTAACATTGCAAATGCTAACTGTGCACCCAGGAGAATAAAGAAATGACTAAATAACCATAGTAACTGCCATAATGCCCATTCAAGACCATCTTTTCCACCCTCTTTATCAGCCACCAAATACTTATATATTTAGTTCAGAGAGTAAATTCAGACTTGGAGATTAGTGAGGGGAAGGAAATCAAATATAAAGCTCAAGAAACAAAGAGCACCACTTGTCACTGTTGATCTTTGATTAACTGGCTCTTCTTTCCGAAACAGGGCCTCTTTTTCTTTCTCTCTCTCATTTGCTTGCAGGTGACACCCACACATATCCTTCGGTGTTGGCAGAGATGCTCACTCAGATAACAACTGGAGTTCATGCTGCACATTTTCATCTTCGTGTGTCATCATCACCATGTAAAACCACAACTATAGGAAAACAAAGCTGTTTGCTGCTCTTCTGTCTCAACTGACATTTCCACCCAGCTCTCACAACTTGTTCTTTGGAGCCAGAGGAGGGTTTGAATCTGTCATTGAGCTAGTTCTGCTAGATGAAGTACAAGTAGAATCCAATCCACCCCTACTCTAAGATAAATTCACCTTTCTGTGACTTTTTGTTTTCTCAAACTCCCAGCACCCCAAAATCTTTCACAGAGTTGAAACAGGTGAGCAGAATAAGGAACAGGTCTTGAAAGGCATGTATTCTAGCCTTACAGTGGCCTCAGCAATGAGGTCAGCTTGGAAAAGGTGAAATATTCTTGGATCACTCATATTTAATCCCAAGTATTTTTCAAGTGAAGAGCCCAATGTCCTCATCTTCAAATGAATGGAAGACACACAGAGAAGTTGTCCCACATTCTGCTCTGGACAGTGGTGAGTGCTCAGAGCCCATGAATCTTTGAAGGGAAAACACCAATTCCTTTGGGATACCAAATCAGAGAAAGTTGAGAGATCCACCCACTCAGATTCATTCCTAAAGAACCAAATTTCTGAGAACTGTTGAAAAGTCAAGAGTAATGCAGTATCTCTCAGCTTTGGAGACACAGATAAGGTACCGAAGTCTGGTATGGTTCCAACCAAGACCATCCCATTTGCTGCTGCTTAGTGTGTGGTCAAGCCACCATTACGATGAATCCAGAAGTGTCTTTGATTTTTCTCACTCATCTATTATCTCTGTTCCACATAAGACGAGAGAGGAGAAAAGGCACTGCTTTAAAAACAAGCAGTCTGTTTTATCAGGCCGAAGAAAGAAAAAGGTTAATTCCAGGCTGCAGACAATTACATATTTACATAGTTACGTAGCTAGAACATAGTAGCAGGTCTGTTAGGTAAATTCATGAAGTTTGCATTTTATTTCATGTTGAACTTGACTTTCAAGGAACTAGAACCTTTTTACAGTAGTTTGCATTATTTTTATTAGCTCAATCAAGGAGTGCTTATTGAGCAGATTCATTTAATGGCTGATTTTTATCAAGGTTTTCCCTTTTCAATTGATTAGGTCTGTCCTATTGAACTCGTAAGTGATTAGCTCAATTCAGTCTTTCTTGGAGTAGGAAACATATAGGTTCATCTTTTTCAAGTCTTAATTACCTTTATTAAGTTTAGTGAGCTCCATTTCAACAACAAAAAAAGAGTAAGTGTGGAGATGAACTCACTACGTATGTATTTATTTGACTTCGGGCCATCCCGAAAGCACCATTTTCAATGAAGTAAATAGAAGCTGCTACGAGAGTTATCAGACCCACCCTTGTGTCTATGGTTCAGGGGCCTTCCCCTACCCACAAGGTGATAGGTGTGTGTGTGTGTGTGTGTGTGTGTGTGTGTGTGTGTGTGTGTGTGTGTGTTGATTAATATGTCTGCTTTGAATTTTTTAACTTGTTCCAAGTGCCACAATTTTGTTTGTCATTTTTCCTTTATTCTTAAATTATTGCAAGCCATCAGAGTATTCAGTTATGACATGAGCATGACAGATGAAAAAGCTGGAATTGTCTGTCCCCAGCTTTCCCATCTTTGGACTCTTTTTGAATCACAGGCAGACAAGGCATTTTATAGCACCTCATAGAATTTGCTGAGACAAAATCACTCCATAGAGAAAAGCAGCAGCTTGGTAGTAGAATGGAATTTTAACTACAAAGGCAACATTTTCAGGAGTCTTAGGCTAATAGCATGTTTAAACTATTGTCAATACTCCATTAAGAAAGGATTTGGGGACTTCATTTGAAAATTGACTTAACTCTTGACTGTGGCTTATTTAGCGTGACTTTTAAAGATGATTCTTTCTAACAAAATTGGTTTTCCTCACTGCACAAAAATTTCTGAAATATAAATTAGTTTATATCCATTAAGTTTTCTTTTAACAGGCTTAACTGTATACCTTTTTGCCCCCTGTTTCACTAAAAAATGAATTTTTGAACTTTTTAACAGGACAGTTAGAAAACAGAGCTGGCTCTCTCCTTCTCAGAATGTGATTAGTGCATTTAAACTGACCGTTACTTCATTAGGGCATGTGAGACTCACTCACTCAATAAAATGAGTGAGTCTGCCAGGCCTTGTTCTAGGCACCGGGGACATGGCAATAAACACAGCAAAGCTCTGTCCCTCATGGTACTTAAATTCTGGTTTGAGGAAACAAACAATAAATAAATAAGTAAAAAGTCTAGTGTAAGAGGTGGTGAAATGCTATGGGCGGGGGAAGCAATGAAAGCAGATAGAGTTTGGGGGAATTTAACTGGGATAGAAAGCGATGCTTGAGCAGGGACCTGAAGGCGATGAGGGAACAAGCCACAGGATATCTGGAGAAGAATATTCTAGAAAAAATATATATTTAAAAGTCCTGAAATAGGAACATGCCTGTGATGTGGAGGAGGAATCTGTCAGAAAGAATGCATATACCAATGAGAGACGGATTCACGTCACACAGAACATGCAGGGAAGCCCTGCTTGACATCTTAGGGTCATAAACCATTGTTTTGATGAGAAATTTTGATGAAAGCCAATCTAAAAGTGTACCTTGCTTGAAGTGAAAACATTTGAAAGTCTGGATTTTTTTAAAAGGTTAAAATTGGAGATTTATGAGAAGTATTTATCCATTTTTTAAAAAAAACATTGTGTTTTCTCAAGTTAGGTTGCTAAAAGTGAAGCTTATCTGCTCTGAAAGATAAAGCACAAATGTAAAAACAGGCACATGGTAGTTCAGTAATTTTATCACTAAGTACAGAACATAATGTGCACTTCATCTCTGTAAATTGGCATGCTCAGCCCAAAATAAGCAAGCTGACAATAAAAACTTATAGAAACACTAAATATAAAACTCTCAGAATAAAAGCAGCAATTGTTTTCTTCATAATTATTATACCTGAAACAGTAAAAGCATGGCTCCAACCACAGTTTTTAAACCAATTTCTTGTTTCATACATTTCTTGGTTCATACTAATAGTGAAAAAGGACTTCCCTATTAACATTTCTACTTTGGTTCTGTTCAAAGTGAGTAAGAACAATCTAAAGTGTGATTCATCTTTAGTAAACCTGTTTTTCCCATCAGAAAATAAAACCAGTTATTACCAAAGATCAAATCTTTCCATTTTTATTTTATATTTATTTACTTTTTGCCATTGTCCTTTCTACAAACTCAATAGTTCTATAATTTTCAAATCCAATCTGATAGCTTGGACTAAAGAACTCTGTGTGCCAAGACCCTGGCGATGTGGCAAATGTGCCACCGTAATCCACCTGTTCTTTGTAACTCAAATACTGCCAGGTTTGGCCATCTCTGGATCAGTTAAATTCATGGAATAGAAAACTACTTAAAAATCAACCAAAGTACAACATTTTCTCTCTAGAGTTATAATATTCATAGCCTTCCCCACAGTATAAAAAAATTAAAGAAGACCTCTTTATATACATAAAAGTGGGAGATGAGATGCTGCACATTTCAGTATAAACTAAAATAATCTGAAAAAGGAAAATGGTGGCAATTAAGAGGCTCTCAAATTTTGTAACACCTCATCCCTGGGTGGTGGGTTTAAATTTGTGTTAAAATATGCTCTCCCTTCTCAGGTCATTGCCCAGTTTAATTGTTATGCATAATTTACCTAATAGGCAGTAATAATAATACCTAACATTACATGTCACGCATGGTACTAAGTGCCAGGGACAAGTAGAAAAAAAAAGACGAACTAAGGCCATGGCCTCAAGGAGATTACAATATAGGGACAGACATTTGTGATCATTATCTTCATTTTATAGTTGAAGAGAATCAGAGTCTTAGAAAGACAGTGACTTGCCTGACACCAACTAGCAATGGGACATGAACCAGGCCCACTTGACTCTAAAACCTATACTCCCCTCATATCAGAATAAATTCAAGCACTGAACAATTGTAAAGGCCGCAGTACATCCATTCTTCAAGGTCCCCAGGCATACTCCAGTTAACCCAAACTGGAGGTAGAAAAAGGTCCGTGATCGTTCCAGGGTCATTCCAGGCCTTACAGGATATCTTGAGAACTTCAATGCCATCTCAAAAAACTCATTCCAAAATACTTTCCATGTCGATGGACCTCCGGGGTAAAATGGCACCTGCACCCGCAAAGTTCTGGAGCGCTGAGCCCTAAAGCACATAAAGTCCCTCTGTGAAAGCTTTCACCAGGGCTCCTTCTGCCTGCCATCTTCTGGAAAACTTCCAGTGGCCAGCCCCTCAGCACATGACAAGAATCAAATCATTCCTTCTATTCTTTCTCCTTCAGAAGAACTTTTCGGGACTCAAGAAAGTCCCCCCCACGCTGTAATGAATACTAAGATCTCTTTTTCACAGTGTCCTCAGTTCTCCTATGGATGTGCATTCAGCATTCCACTTCGGATCTCCACACAGACAATAAAGAGACCAGTTGTGCAAACCTGAAATATATGGAACAGAAAAGTCCCCTGCAGGAGTTGACTAGAATGTGCTGCTAAACAAATTATCCTTCATAGCATTTAAACAGTTTTGACATCAAGTGGCCTTATTTCCAAGCATAGTCTTCCTTGGTGTGGAAAGACCACTTTATTTTTTTAATCATATTGTGAAGACTACATTGAATTTCCATCACAGGGAGTAAGGAAAGCAAATCCGTTTGCTTTTACGTTGCTTTGAAGGTATTCCATTGTTCAAAATGACTAAATATGACCAGAATTTATCAAAGATAATGTCTGTATCTTTCTAACCTAAAAAGGAAAATATTAAATAGGAACTGAGTGGCTCATTTCATGATTGAGAAACAGTGTTTTCATGACTTTAAAAATGTTTACGTCTCTCTACCCTTCACCCCCCACTTTAAATGATCCCCCTAAACCCCTATTTAACCACAAGGAATAATTTTCTAACCTTCCCTCTCCATCTGAAAAGTCCTTCATTATCATATTTCACTTGACTGCCATGTGCAGGGGCTCAGAAAGGAGTAAAACTGTAAGAAGAGTTCAAGGCTAACAGAAATCACTCACTTTATTTTCTACCCTAACCTCTCAGTCAAGTCAATAAATACACAGTAAGTTTGAATTTTGGTCATGGCACTACAAGATTTAGGCTGCCATTGTAATATTCTTTAACTTCCCTTCAGAGTCTCAAAATAATGTTCTTTGGTCTAGTTGGTCAAGAAAAATTGGCATCTGTGGCCTAACAGGGGCCTGAGATGGCCGGCTGAAGATGAGGCAGTCCTTTCCTATCCAGAGCAGTGGTGTTGAGCAGGTGAAGAGGTGTCAGCCGGCTGGCATCTGGATAGGTGTCCGTGTCAGGAGCGGTAGGCTGCAAAGTCTCGTGCTGGGGCATAGGGATGGTAGTGTCTGCGGGTGGGCCCTGGCCTCCGGGGGGTCATGTTCATGTAGTCACTCTGAAGGATCCTGTTCCTCTTATTCTTCATCTGCAGAAAAGAGAAATGTCACTGTGAAGGGGCCAAGAACATGCATGGAGATGTCATGGGAGGAGTTCTAAGACTTTGGGGGCAACTTTTCCAACCATGGACTGTCAAAGGAAGCTGATCACCAGAATTGGTTAAGCACCTTGGACTTGGATCATGACTAATCAAACCTAACTACTTTGGACTCTTCTAAATCAACTTGAAAAATCTGAATCAAAGAAAGTATTTTAGAAAAATGCGCCCTTGATACTCTCCACACTGTCATTGAACCTGAATTTCAAAGGTATATCTAATTAACATATCTGCTGTTAATAAGTAAATACTCTTGAAGGCCTTTCCTCATTTGCAAAGGATAAGCATTTCCACTGTAATTTTCTTTTATTAGCCATTTTTTTAACAGACTATTTTTCTATAACCAAAGAGGACCTTCAGCCCCTCAGGGTCTGGAGTGATCATAAATCCACAGCAGTGCATTCCAAATTAATGGGAAGATAGTTCTAGGCAACTAGTTACATTCCTATTTCTTCATATGTATTTCCACTTCCATAAAGACAATAGAGCCACTCATCTTTATTCCTCAGGTTTTGCTCCTTCTAGATGAATTCCTGCCAGGGGCGAGGAAAGTAGGACAATACTTAACCTGCAGCAAGAATTACACCTCCTTGGATTTTAGCAAGGTTTTGATTAAGGAACATCTTCTCCAGATCAATGTGATGGTAAAATTTACATTTGATAAAAGACCCATAAAAATTTTTAAATAGAAAGCCATCCAGATTTTTGGATTTGGAATTTTTTATTATGGAAAAAAATGCCTATTTCTTGGCATGTAGGCCTGATGCATAAGTAGATACACTGCACATGAATGATACGAACTCCTGCATAAATTAGCAAACAAATGACTTCAGCCTGGTCTTATTTCCATGTATTCTACCTCAGCACTTCATACTTCCTTGTCAAAGAGGCATGAGTATGTGTTAAGAAAGGTTGGAAAAACACTGACCTTCGCATTACTAAAAATGACATGTTTTCAGTCCTCATCTTCTTGAACTCTCAGCAGCGTCCTTTATTATTGATTATTCTCTCCCTTTTGAAACACCCTTCCACTTTACCTTCCATGAGATGGTATCATCCAGATTTTCATCCTGCCTCCTCTGAAAGCTCATCCTTCTCTAACTAGCCATTCGGTATTAGACTTTCCCATTGTTTTGTCATAGACCTTTTCCTCTTCTCGCTCCATCCTCACTCTCCCTAGGCAAGCTCATCAACATTCACAGCTTCAATTATCACCTATTTACCCCAATTTATATATCTGGACTAGGCTTCAAAGTCATTTTAAACACAACATATCCAAAACAAAACTCAAGATCTTGCCCTAAAATCTGGTCCTCTCCCAGTGTTTCTCATCTCTGTGAGTGACAATCCATATATAAAGTTGCCCCAGCCAGACCCCCTAAATCTCATTCTTGACACATTTAGTTCCATTATTCCCTGTTCCAGGGGACATTTGACAATACCTGGTGACATTTTGGGTTGTCATACCTGGGAGGAATGCTACTTGGCATCTAGTGGATAGAGACCAGAGATGTTGCTAAATATCCTGCATTGCACAGGGCAGGCCCCACCAATAAAGAATCATCCAGCCTAGTATGTCTATTGTACCAAGACTGAGAAATCCTAATCTAGAGTCAGGTCATTGAAAAACCATGGAATAAAAGGAAGCAATGGATACAAAATGTGTCATCAAATCAGCATGAGTATTGTTAGACTACTTGACTCCTCCTTCTTGGTCATACCCAAAGATGATTCATTATTTGAGCCTAGGTGACTAGAAAGACAGTGTTTCACCCATACACATAAGGCAAGACAGCAGGAGAAGTGTGTTTGAAGGAGGTTATAAATTCTGCTTTAGTCATTTGGGACTTGAGATGATGGATGGGTTATTTAGCTGGAACTAAGAAGAAAAGAGCATTAAACACACATAATTGAGGGATTCATTCAGAGAGATGTAGTCATGGAAACCAAATGCATGAAGGAAGTTGCTCTTCAAATATCTTGATTCTATGTCTGTTCTATAAATCAAAGACAGGAGTTCCCTTGGACAGGGAAAAAGATGTAGAAATGTCTGTCCCCAACTCAATGTAGAAGGCTGCTGCTGATACCCTGGGGATCATTTTAGTACTTATTCCCACCTTGAGGACTTCCCTTGCCAGATTCCCAAGTGATAGTTTTTGTCTCCAGATACCCAAATAAAACTATACCTATTAGAGAGTGCCCCTAAATGAAGATGTCTTAGTTCTGGGTTCTCCAGGTTGCACACATAGGCTATGAAAGATCTACTACAAACAACTCCCATGCTTACCCTCACACTGTTATTGAATGGTGGGATTAGTCATCACCACCCAAACTCTAAACACAACAGTAGAATGGAAGTGACACACGCATGACTATGAAGACTACACAGAACCCACAATGTCCATGTGCACTTAGCATATATACAGGTGTTTGCAGACTACTTACTTCATGTGTCTGTGTAACTGGGTCATCTACTCTGCCCCTTTACCATTCTGCAATGTCTGCTAAAGCTGTATGATTTTGGGACCCATCACCCTTGCCCTTCCCTTCACCACAGCCTTTACCCACTTGTTTCCTGGGAGCAGCAGCAAGACCCAAGGTTTATACAAGGTAATGCAGTGAATGGAGGATTGAGTGAGAGTAGCAGGTGCTGATCTGTGGCATCCTGGCCTAGGGAAGCTCTTTATTTATTCAAATGTCAGCAATAGGTCAAGAACTGAGATAGAATCTGCGGCTGCTCCCAGAAACCCACTCAGCCTAGAACTGCCTACGGTAGCACATCACGAGTCCTCAGGAAGTTCCGGAAAACAGCAACTTGCACCGAGGCACAGTGCAGACCAGCCAAAAATAGGATCCTAAAAACATTCCCAGGAAAAGGCTAAACTTTAGGGATCCTTAATGGCCTGGCAGAGTTCAGCCAGGAGCTAGTTGCTTAAACAGTAATAGCAGCAAGAAAAGATGAGCCCAGGGTAAAAAAATATAGGTACACATACACACATATATACATTTTCATACCCTTTTGGTCAAAGAATACAAAAAACCTAGCTAGGTCTGAGATTCAAATAAAGGGTAGTTAGCAGGTAACCAAACTGACTACAAGAGACCACGAATATAAGATACACTGATCATTGGAACTTCCCAGTTTACAGGGATCCTGTGAGACAGAATAGGACCAAAATAAGCTTTCTCAAGACAAAGCAAGATGATTTCCACTGGGAATTAGTAATACCACCAAAGATTTATAACATCTACATTGCTTCTGAGTTGAAAGTGAACTGTTAAAAATCATTGAAAATGAGAAGCTACTTTTGTCCTTTTGGTTGATTTGAGTCACTTAGCAAGTTAGTGCCTGATTATAGTAACTGACATTTTAATGCATATTTATAACAAGTTTTAAATGATAATTAGTACCCTTCTGGCCACTGAAGGTTAAAGCCATGCCCAGAACAACTTCCTAGGTCAGTTAACTGACCTAGCTCAGCATATCACAAAGGAGCACCTGTCCTGGAAGAGAACCCAAAAGCCACCGCACCTGGCTTTTAACTTAAGAAGTTGAGATTCTCAATGAGATCAGGAGAAAACAAGAATTAAGAGCCCAAATTATAAAATCATTAGCAAACACCATAGTTGTTCAAACCTGGAAGGGGCTTTGGATGAAGACTGCAAGATCTGCAAAGACAAAGGGACTCAGCTAACATGAGAGGAAAAACTTGGGCAATATTTCACTACATAAAAAGGCCCCATCAGGCTTGGGCAACTTGAAGAAGGCAAGGCAGGCAAATTCTCAAGAGGATATCTAGTATAAAGGATTTCCAGGAACAAGGAGCTACTTTGTCCTTTATCCTGCAGAAGGCAGAGATTAGGCAACAGGCAGCATGGCCAATGTCCAGAATACCCAAATGGTCTTCTGAAATGGGAGAAGTATGTGGAGAACAACTGAGAGGCAAACTCTGGCAACAGGACAACAAGAGATGAAGGGCACCCCAGGTTGTATCTGTCATTGGTATGACTGTAAACCCATGGCTGCTGAACCCCTCCCAGCCCAAAACTGTACTAAATAGGGTGGCTTTACATGACATGGCTTCCAGAAATATCTGACCCATGTACGGACTAGTTAAACATATAGATTATGGCTTGAAGGTGGATATTATACTTCAGGCATGTTCATTTAAGTGCTTAGTTTGACCTCTATGGAAGTTGTTAATCTAAGCATTCATCAAGCATTAAAGGTACTTAATACTAGATAGATGATGAGTATAAATAGTTCTTTATTCATTAGGAAGGTACGTTTCTTATTGAAGGAATGACTGATACATGCATCTAAATATAAGAAAAAAATTCAAAGACAAAATGGAATCAGTACATGAGGCATTCTATACCCTAAAGCTTATTAAGGAACAGGAAAGATCCTTAATAAAGAGGTGCCTTCTTAACAGTAGATATGGTCATCAAGAGGTCCTCAAACCTCAGCAAAAAATTCAACATTGAAGAAGGGAATGTGTGTGTGTATGTGTATACCAAGTTTATTGCATGAACATTTGCAAAAGTCGTTAAACCCCAGTTCAGTGATGAGAGCTCAGAAAAGTCTAATTCTCATTGTAGTTTCATAATGACAGCACCATACTTGGTCTCACAAAATTCAACTGCTTCTAAAAAGATAAAAATATGACTCAGATAAACAGACCTAGTTTTTTTGCTAGGTTTGAATGCATAATTTCAGTAGCCAAATTTCTCATGATTTTTGACCCTGAAGCAAAGTTGTTCGTTGATTTCAGTTGTCTAGGTTCCCAAGCTGCTTAGATTTTTATACATATGTATATATTAAAACTATTTTATATGTCATAATTATATTGCAAATGGAGATAAAAAAGTAACTGCCCTTATACTACCCCCACCCTAATTTAACCAATTGGCTTCTTATTCTATCTGGCCACCTAACCAGTGCCTTCTGGAAAATAGAATGCCCATCCCATTTTTATCTCAGATTAGGATGGATAGGCTAAAAGACAACCTACTCAAACCTAGCAGGGAAAAAGAAAACGAAAATCACATGTTAAACAGAAAATAAATGACATAGACAAAATTCTTGAATATAATCAGATTGCATGTGCAGTAGAAAAGTTACATAAAAGCAATGCTGCTTCTCTTACCCAGCAAGTAAAAAGAGCCACTGTCACTAGCAAGCTATACAAAGCCAAGATTCCATCAACCACCACCAGTGCCCAGAATGGCTTAGAAGACTCGGGAGTTTGGTGAGCTGGACAAAGCCGATTCTCTGAAAAATAGAATACAGTGGATTAAATGATATGGGAGTGGCACTTGAGTAGATTTGCTTCCTTCTGAACATTATGGAAGAATGTGAAAGGGAACAAAATATGCAAAATATCACTAGCTTAGAATGCATAGAATTCCTTTTTGATCTATGCTCTTTGGGATTTATCCAATCCCACCACTCATTATGATAGAGTTTTCAAGGCTACGGCTGAAAACCATTACTTCAGAGTGGTACACTGAAGTTGCCTGTTACCTTTCACATGGATAATGGTCCCGTTGCTCTTCTCATTGTCTATGTAAGGAGGTGGATACATGACTTCTATTTTGCAGAAGTAAATGTCTGTTTGGTTAACAAACAAATTCCAGAGGTAGAATGTCACTGTTTCATTGCCCAACTTCCCATCGCAGTTGAATCCTGTTTTTGACTGAAACTGAAGCTGATGGGAGTAGTTTCCATTCACAACACATACTTCCACAGCACTATCTGCTCCCTTATAAAGGGATGCCCGGAACTCCTTTGAAAAGAGGTTGTAGGTGTATTTGCAGCTGAGGTTGACGGCATTGTTGTTCACCACAAGCATGGGCGACTGCTTCACCAAAATCTTGTTTTCTGGAGGAGGAACAATCATTGCTTAGAACAAGGCTGGAAAGACTTTTTTCTGAAATCAAAATGTAGTAATTAAAAAAATAGATCCCCAGTAAAGGCTTTTTCTTGGCAGACAAAGGTGCAGGAGCTCTTTTGGAGATAATTATACCAAGAGTTTAAAAGTTTACTGCTTGATAATATTTCCATTCTCCTTTGAATGAAACAATGGAGCATGTCTATTCAGATATTTGCCAGTTTAACTGGGTTGCCCTTTTATTGCTGAATTATCAGAGGTTTTTACATATTTTGAATCAAGTTCCTTATCAGATATATGATTTGCAAGTATTTTCTCCCATTTTGTGTGTCATGTTTCTTATCGTCTTAAAAATTCTCCTAGCTGTTGCTAATATTCAGTCAGGGTTGAAAATTACTATAGCCTAAGAGATTTCTCAAGCTGACAACATTTTAGAATCACTTGGGGAACTTCTACAACCCCTCAATTCCCTTCATTAAATCAGAATTTCTGGGTATAGGACTCAGGCATCACTAGCCTTAAAGTTTCTCAAGAGATTCAAATTTGCAGTCAAGTTTAGGAACCAGTGACTTAGCAGATAAAAGCTCATTTTTATCCTCAATTCATAGGCCTCCACAGGCTTTCCCAACCTCATTTCCTCAAGGCAAAACCTTCCCAGTTAGCTGGATCTTTTAAGTCAGCACCCAAAGAATACATCATGAGCATTCCTCTCCCATACTTTGTTCACTAACTCCATGGCTTAGTGACTCACCCTTCTCAGGTCTCAAGACAATTACTGTGTGTATCACTCACTTGCCATTTGGTCAGGTTCAACATTTTTTAAAGATTTTTTGTTTATTTATCTTTAGAGGGGAAGGAGAAAGGGAGAGAAATATCAATGTATGGTTGCCTCTCATGTGTCCCCTGCTGGGCCTACAACTCAGGCATGTGCCCTGACTGGGAATCGTACCACGATCCTCTGGTTTGCAGGCCTGCACTCAATCCACTGAGCTACACCAGCCAGGGCTCAACATTTCTTTTGATGTCTTTTGTTTATTGGATGATTATTGGTCTGTGTGACATACTGGTCTTATCATTTCAACCTATAAGTTTTATATGATTTGCTACACTTATTGTGTATTAAATTTATATGATTTAATACACTTATTGTGTATTAAATATTGTGGACATTGATTTCCACTAGAATCAGTACTGATTGAGTTAAAAATACAGCTGTCCCTTGAACAACTTGGGGGTGAGGGGTATCAACCCCAGTGCAGTCAAAAATTTATGTATAATTTTGGCTCCCTCAAAGCTTTGCTAATAGCCTACTATTGACTGGAATCCTTATAGATAACATAAACAGTGGATTAATATATATTTTTATATTATATATATTACACATTATATTCTTATAATAACTGAAGCTAGAGAAAAATGTTATTAAGAAAATCACAAAGAGGAACTAAGTTACAGTATTTATTGGAGAACTCAGCATATAAGTGGACTCACACAGTTCAAACCCATGTTGTTCCAGGGTCAACTATATATTTTAAAACACCATTTTGAAAATGCTAGAATGTTGTTTTCCACTTTATATATTACAAAGATCAGTTAAACTACAACTATCTGAGAATCTTGCTTAGTTGAAAGTATCATATCTATAAAACTGAGCTGAAAATTTGCAGGAATTAATTACCTTCAAAGAAATTTTTTCTATAAATTAACTATATTTGGACAAGCTGTGCTAAGGTAATGGCCATTGACATAATGACAATGACATTGATTTAATTCTAAGTACTCACTCATGACAGTGCCACAAAATTATTTAATTGCAGTTATGTGTCCACTAGTTTTTAAATTGTAGATAATACTATCTTCATTGTAAATGAATGGGCCCAACAGCCATCAGCCTACAATCTTTTTATTTGTTCCTTTTGTACTTTCAAAATACACCAAGTTCTACATTTTGAACGCCTCTTGTTTTATATGCTTTGATTCACTCAGCTTTTGATTGTGTGTATTTCCTCTAGACCCCTAGTTTTCAAGACTCTTGAGAGCAAGGACCACATGTTATGCTTCTTTGTATATTGTACGAACAATAGGATCTTAATAAGTAGCCAATTAGAGAAAGATGGTGATCTGACAGTATCATTCTTTTTTTTATAGATTTTTCTTTTTTTTAATAAATTTTATTTAGTTATTTTTCAAGTACATTTTTTATCTATTTCTCCCATCCCACCCCCCCCGCCCCGTCTCCCCCCTCCCTCCCATCCCCCCCCCCCAGTCCTCATCCCTGTGTCTTTCATACTTGTTCCTCAAAATCCCTCCCCCTTTTTCCCCTTAAATTCCCTTCCCTCTCCCCTCTGGTCGCTGCCCACTTGTTCTCTATTTCAGTGACAGTATCATTCTTATCAGCAGCTAAGACTGACTACCATCTCACTAAATACTTACTCAAAATTGGTGTATCCACAATAACTTTAGCTTCATTTATTATTCATTCAACAAATATAGCCTAAAAGTACTAAAAAGTAAACATGTAAAGAACCAAAAAGTTCAACCTGTCTTGATAGGAAAATGCAACTGGTTTTTTGTTTGGTATGGTTTGGTTTGTTTTGGCCTTTTTCTTTGCGTACTTAGGAGAAATCACTGGGCAGGTTCTGAGTGGAGAACCAACCCCAGACAGGAGTGCCAGCATCTCCCCTCCTTTTCAGGGAGTTCAGGTTAGGTGTCTGTATTTCTGCTTACTGAGTTCTGCAGAATTGTATTTTTGTTACTAATTATTTGGATTCTCTTGTAATGGGCATTCAGATTCTTCCTGATCTACCTTTGAAAGCTGATAAGAGAAAAGATGAGACTAGGACTTCTTTGCAGAGATTTTTTTAAAGGGTAGGGTCAGGGGTTTGGTGGAACTTGGGCAGAGAAACTGAGTAAGGCTGGAAAGAAACTGGATGGTTACCCAGTTTGGCTTCCTTCTCCTAGCACCCACAGTGAGGAGGAGGAATTGAAGAGTGTACGGGAAGAAAAACAATGTTACTATACTCCATAGCATCTATCTGTACTCCAGTAGTGTGCTTACTATGTCTTGTGTAGCTCAGAGTGTGACACCTTCCCAAGATGCATGTAGGAGAAAAAAATTGATTTCCCAGAGATAAACAGAGTTCAGTTTCTGTCCTAGGGCAGTTCACAGTCTGATGGGGAAGAAAGACATAAGTAGACAACTACTTAAATAGTGGCACGGTGTTCACACAGTATTTCTAGGGGCAACTGTGGGGCCAGCTAAGGATTCCTGGAGGTAGTGACTGCTGACCTGAATCTTAAAGGATTGTGCAAGCGTTAATTCAACAAGTTTTTATTACATAAAGTTAGCCTAGCTAAGATGAGTCTTAAAAGGTGGGGTAAGGTACACGTGTATGTTGATGTAGAGGGCTCTGCAGAAAATAAAACAAAGAGAAAAAGAACAATTGAGGCAAAGAAGATAAGGAGGTGCAAAGGACTATGACTGATGTAGGGAATTACAGGTACCTCACTTTTGCTGGACCATAAGTTTAAAAGACAAGATTGACAAAGCAAGCATAGATTATAGCTTGGGATCTCTCCTGTACACTTGAGGATCTATTAAAGGATTTTAACCTGAAGAGTGATGTGTACAACTTTTCATTTTTTATAGATTACTTTAGCAAAAACATGGAAAGTAAATTTGAAGGGTCCAAGAATGAAAAGATAGAGACCGGTTAGGATACAATTGTAGTAGTCTAGGAAAGAGGTGATAAGGCTGGTAAGAACTACAATTTGAAAGAAGTGAATAAATTCATGAAATATTTGTAGCCTAAATTAGCAGGACTCCATACTGGCTTAGTGGTAGTGAAAGGAGGAGTTAACAATGACTTCAGGCCGCATAGACCAACCAATAAGTAACATTGTTTTCCTTTTGCCTACATCTCTTCTTCATTCATTACAAAACCAGAAGAGACAGCTCAGAAACTGAGGTGAAGTTTGGACATCTGGCATGTGAAGGAGACATTCTTCTACCCTAAGAAATTGTTGCAAAGAAAATAGGAATGACATCAAAGGTTCCTGGGAACACAGAGGACTGCATGGAGCTTAGTACAGTGTTTGCTGTTTTCCACAATGGTCTTTCTCTCTAAAACTATTTCCCCCTCGCAAAGCATAATATAGTGAGATAACTAAAAGATAGATTTTCCTTCGGTTCATCATAAAGCCTCCAAATTCAAACCATGGTAAGATTGATTCAGGTTTTTCTTTAGCCCATTCTACCCCAGCTCTAGCATTGAGGAGTTTCTCATGGAAGAGCAATGCAAGATCCCATAATCTAGGCTGGTGGTTACACATCCCATTTTCTCCTGGTTGATGGCATCTCCAACAACTGAGCAAGGGAAGGAAAAGTCTTTTTTTTTAAATTGATGTATAGTTGACATATATTAGTTTCAAGTGCACAACGTAATGAATTGATATTTGAATGTATTGTAAAAAAATCACCACAATAAGTATACAAGGTCTGTCCAGAAAGAGTCCAGTTATTGTTAATCTAATGAGAACAGTTTGTGCAACATGGTTGTAACCTGGCAGCCAAGGAAATTGGACTAGAATGTACATGTACTAACAATGGATTTCACTGTACTAGTACAGTTGAGTAAGCATGAGGACTGTGTGGCAATCGCATTCAAAATGACTGAGCAAGTAGAGCAAATAAATCTGTATCAAGTTTTGCATTAAGTCTGAACTTTTCTCCATGGCAAACTATTTGGATGATTCAGCCTGCCAGCTGGTGATTGGCAGCTTCATCACAGCATGTCTACTCACGCATCCCATCTGGTTCAGAGGTTTTTGAGGAAACATCAAATCACCCAGGTGACTCAGCCCCTCTACAGCCCAGATTTGGCACCCTGCAACTTCTGGCTTTTCCCCAAACTAAAATCACCTTCAAAAGAGAGGAGATTTCAGACCACCAATGAAATTCAGGAAAATATGATGGATGAGGCAGCTAATG